ACAGCCACTGCAGTGGCCAGTGGGTATGTGTTCATGTCTGTGTTGCTGGCTGAATTGCCCTGTGTTTGAGATCCAGTCCCATACTTGGCTGCATTCAGATCTCTCTCTCTCTTCTCTACTGGAAAGACAGTGACCTTTTGCACTTTTCAAAATTAGCAAGTGTCCAGAAACAAGAGCAGGGCAATGAATAACAGAGCTGGTTTTGCATGCAGAGAAAGAAAACCCCATGGAACAGTGGGGGAAGGGTAGCTTTGCAGAGCTGGAAAAGGTCCAGGGCCTAGGAGAAATTGATTTGACAACAGAAACATCCAAAGGAGGTGAGAGGAACTACAGTTCCTGTGATGGACTCAGTAGAGAGTTCATGAAGATGAAGATGGAGGACAATCAGAGACTTGCTGGAAAAAACACCTGGATTTGAGTCTGTGGTTCTTGGCACTTTTTCATCTTGGAACATATTGCTTATGGAAATAGGTTCTTTTTAAAAATAATTTTATTATGATTTTTTTCTCCTACATATCAATTTCAGTTCCCCCTCCCTTCTCCTGCTTCCCCAATCTTCCCCCCACCTCAACTCCTTTCGGGTCCTCAGAGAGGAAAGGCCTCTGTTAGAAGTCTAGCTCAGTCAGTAGAGCAGCCGAGCAGGGGAAGGAGGGGTCCTAAAAGTCCCACGTTGGGTGCCAGATGAAGGCGAAGGCATAAGTCAAAAACAATCCCACACCAGTTTAGAATTATGATTAATAGAATGGTTATTTATTTAAAGGGGAAAAAACTTACAGATCACTGTCCCAGACAACAGTCCTCTGCGCAACCAGGAAGGGAGTCTAGTCGCCGGAAGCAGAGCAGGAAGTAAGAGAGAGCGAGAAGGGAAGTGGCCGCTTTTTTTTTTTTTTTTTTTTTTGATTTTTCGAGACAGGGTTTCTCTGTGGCTTTGGAGCCTGTCCTGGAACTAGCTCTGTAGACCAGGCTGGTCTCGAACTCACAGAGATCCGCCTGCCTCTGCCTCCCGAGTGCTGGGATTAAAAGTGGCCGCTTTTTTAAAGGGAGAGAGACCACGCCCCAATGGGCTGGTATCTCAGCAGCTATTGGCTGGAGGAGCGGAAGGACCTCCCGCAACACCCTAAGTCTGTCCCATTACTGCATTGAGGTAGGACCATGGCCCTCCCTCCTTGTCTCAGTTAAGAAAGGTGTCTCTCCGGGAGAATGGGCTCCACAAAGTCAGTTCATGCATTAGGGTTAGATCTTGGTTCCACTGCCATTGGCCCCACAAACAGCCCAATCCACACCATTGTCACCTGCATTCAAGGCCTAGTTCAGTCCTATGCAGGTTCCCTCCTTGTCAGTCCAGAATCAATGAGCTCCCACTAGCTCAGGTCAGCTGAAGCTGTGATTTTCCCCATCATGGTCCTGTCCCCCTTGTTCATATCATCACTCCTCCCTCTCTTCGATTGTACTGTGGGAGCCCTGCCCAGTGGTCAGTGGCAGACCTCTGCATCTGCTTCCATCTGGGAAACAGGACCTTGAAGAATCCACACCACACAGTGAGTTCAGAGCAAGGATCACTGAAATCTCTAAACATTTCCAAGTGGTAACTTTCTCAATGAAAATGTTTTATTCTGTCAAATCGCTGATAATAATATCTTTTACTCAGGCAATTGAATAATAAAGAGTAACTCTATTATTATTTGAATCTCAAAATTTTGAAATAAAAGAGGACTTTAAAGTCAAGGACCACTTTAAAATTAAAGCTAGAAAAACTAATCTTAAGTTTGCCACATAAGACCAACGTCCAGATTATCTACATAGTCAGAGATGAAGTGAAAGCTGTGGAAGTTCAATGATGATTTATTCCACACGCACCGTACAAGAACCTCATGTTTGGCTGGAACAAAGTGTGAGCATGTGAGTGAAGGCCGCCTTTCAATTCTCCTTTCAGAACATCCCTGGCTCTTACTAAGGTGGTAAGGAAATCTGCCCAAATATACCCTAGTGACTGTTTTCCTTTAAAAGTGAAAGCAGTAACGATGGCTTTGTATGGAAGCGTGTGTTGAGATCACGGACATGACAGATGAGAAAACAAGCAAAATGGACTCCATCGCTTTGCGTCTGAAACTGCTAAGTGGTCTAATCTTGTTTTTGTTTTATTTAGTTGCATTTATGTAGAAAACTAAAATAAACATAGAACATTTGGCTGAGCGTGTGGGGTACGCTGTGCTCCTGTGGGAAAGAGACAAGTGCCTGCTGCGGAAAGCAACTAACAAACCCGAGATTCCTTCACCTGCAGCAGATCTCCAGGGTGGGTTTTTAGAATGAGAAGCCTGGGGGGCTGGAGAGGAAGCTCAGTGGTCAAGGGCACTTGCTTTCCCTTCACAGGACTGGAGCTGGATTCCCAGTGCCCACATCAGGCAGCTCACAACTACCCGTAACTCCAACTCCAGGAAAGCAGTGCCCTCTTCTGGCACAGGATGGCAGCCACATGCATTTGCACATATACAGACACACACAAAGAGAGAAACACAAAAATTTAAAAATTGAATCTTAAAAAGAGGCATATCCTTCGTTGTGTAGTAGCTAGAGGTGACCTATCCAGAGCCATGGAGCCAATTGGAAGGTTCTGTCATTTATGCAATTTTGCCAAATGGTGTGTGTGTGTGTGTTGTGGGAATTCACTTTGACAATAGCTTTGGGGTACCAGTCTTAGCATGTGGTTATTTGTCTGCAGATGTGACCACTTAAGAGGACAGAATAAGAGGTCACACAATCCTTGGGTTGTAAAGGCCAAGTCAGGTGGCATGAAGCAGCCAATGGTTGGTCCCCAGTTCCCTTGGGCAGAACAGAAGGACTCTGCAACTGGATGTATTTTGTCCTGTATCTGTAAATCTACTTCCTCATAGCACCCTTAATAAATAAATAAATAAATAAATAAATAAATAAATAAACAAATAAATACACACACACACACACACTTCTTTGTATATGGGGGGGTTCTGTAAGGTGAAGGAAGCCATGCCTGGAAAAAAATAGGCAATCACAATGAAATTATGACTTACTGCTGCATGAGGAAACTGGATGAGATTTTGAATAATCCTTTAAATTTCATGTCTGTTTGTTATTTGAGACACAATCTTAAAATTCAACAGCTCTGGTTGGACTTGAAACTCATTCAATAGACTAAACTAACTTCTAACTCACATAGATCTGCCTGTCTCTGGGCAATCTTCTTTTTCTTAACTATTTCTTTAAAGTGTGCATGTGCTTTGGTGTATACAGGTACACTATGTACGCGTAGGTGTCCAGAAGGCCAGGAGTCAGATCCTCCCTGGAACCTTTGTAATCCCCAACAAGAGGGTTCAATTGAATTCCCCTCCCTCTGATAGTAACCAAGGAATTATAGAATGTGAACAGTTTGAGTTACTCTAATAATAACCCTGGCAGTGCTGTTACGCATCCAGTTGAAAATCAGCGGTACGTCAGAGGCCTGGACACGTTATGTCAAACTGTCCTTAATGTCCTAAAGCCAAAAACTGTTTTCTTGTGGTGAAAATCTAAATCCAGGCACAGTTGGTGGGAAATACCTTGCCTTTTGGATTTGCATATCCATAAATTGTAGTTTGTTGAAGAAGTGTGGTGGAGGGACATGGCTCAGTTTTTCCAGCGCCTCCTGTGCAGGAACTGGATCCCAGAGCACACAAAGATGCTCTGTGTGATGAAATGCAATGATAAACCTAGCACTTCAGAAGAGAAGACGAGTGGGTCCCTAGGACTTTCTGGCCAGCCAGCATGGCTTTCTTGGAAGGTTCCAAGCCACTTGTATCACAAGATAAAAAATGGGTAGAAAAGAAAAGTCCCAACTGAAATGTTTTTCTCCTTTCTCACTTGTTTTTGTGATGGATTCCTGGCAACTGATGGGTTGACAAGGCAATGTCAGCAGCCATACTTTCCCATATTTGGTGGCATGGTGAATAATCAAAACTGGAGTTAATAACATTTGCCATCTCTAGTCTCTTCTGCTTCATTTACCTTCATTCCAATGCCAGATGAAACAAAAGCCCTGCAGTCCAGGGTTAATTCACTGTACTCGTCTACTCAGCTGTATAAAGCATATAAAAACTCTTGGTTAAACAACTGTTCTTTTGATTATTTTCCTTGAGATAGCTAGGCACTCCAATGAGCATCTGAGGATGTGGAGATGCCGCTCTTGCTCAAGAGGCTATGGATGTCACCAAGCACATAAGAGATTGGTAGCTGCTTCTCCTTCTTTTCCTTCGCGGTCACTCTAACCTCATCTGGGAAGTCCTCCGCCTCCCACATCTATAGAAGAGAGGTGGGATGAATGACTCTAAAGTGTCTCTCATTTTTAAACTTTCACCATCATATTTATATAAAGAACAGTGTTTGTGAGTGTGGGCTCAAATCCTAGTTCTCCCACTTACCATCTGTGTAACCTCGGGTGAATGACTTAACTTTATGAATCTCAGCCATCTCTGCTGAAAAATGGACGAATGGCTGTCTCCACTGAACAGAGTAGTGGGATTGGTGAAGCAACATGTATGAAACATGTCCATGTATGTACATGTACGAGATGTGCCTCACAAGCACCAGGCATTTAATGACACAGCACATACAAAGGTCATCTTTCATTTCATGTTAGTTAGGTGTCAGACATGGTGTTAATCTAGAAATATTCATTCCTCACAACTCTTTGAAGTCTGATTTTGATTTCAGTTTCCCTCATAAGGAGAATGAAGACCAGTGACTTGAAATCACAGGGCCCCAAACCTAGATAGCTATGTAGCCACATACATAGCTGTACCGTAACTGGTACAGCTGACAGCAGACTCCGTTCCTTTCTAATTCACATTTCCGTAACATGTAGGTTATGGGAAGTTCTTTGGGGTGGAGCTGGGGAGATGGCTCAGTTGGTAAACTGCTTCCCTTCACAGCATGAGAGCCTGATTCAGATCTCCAGAGTCCACATTTAAAAAGCTGCATGCAGGGCCAGGGTCTGCACGGGAAGATGGCAGAGTTTGGGTCCAAGTCGGTGTTGTTCGTGTGTCTCGGTAACATTTGCCGGTCACCCATTGCAGAAGCAGTTTTCAGGAAACTGGTAACTGATGAGAATGTTTCAGCTAATTGGAGGATAGACAGTGCGGCTACATCCACCTATGAAGTGGGGAACCCCCCTGACTATCGAGGGCAGAACTGCATGAGAAAACATGGCATCCCCATGAATCACACTGCATGGCAGATTTCAAAAGAAGACTTTGCCACATTCGATTATATACTATGTATGGATGAAAGCAATCTGAGAAATCTGAATAGAAAAAGTAATCAAGTTAAAAACTGCAAAGCTAAAATTGAGCAACTTGGGAGCTATGATCCACAGAAACAACTCATTATTGAAGATCCCTATTATGGCAATGACTCTGACTTTGAAGTGGTGTACCAGCAATGCCTCAGGTGCTGCAAGGCTTTCCTGGAGAAGACTCACTAGGTGGTCCTGCCACCACCATTGAGCAGCTCACTCACCAGAGCCGTGCCCAAGGGTGGTGCCAGTCCTTAGCCCCATGCCCCACCTGTCTCTTCAGCTGACTTTACTGTTTATCTTTAAAACATCTGTAGGTAGAAATTAGGGGTATGTTCAGAAAGGTAAAAATATTTGAGTAAGACAGTGTGAGGTGTGGCTAAGTTTTCTTAGACTAATTGAACCTTTCCTCTCACCTTGTCCTAATTAGAAAATAGTGGAACAAGGAAATACGGAACAAACTAGAGCCCAATAAAGTAAGAATGACCTACAAGGTCTGGGTCAGCCTCTGAGCCCAGCCAGCCTGGGTGGTCTGGTCTTACTAAAGTGTGCGCATGGCCAGCACCCAGTGGTGCCATTCGCTTGCCTTATACCTCTCTATCCTAGACTCTTGTGACAATAATTCCATCCATATCAGCCTTCCACTTAACACTGGAAGATTTAAACTCGGACACACTGAAGACAAACTGGATGTGGTGATACAGGCCTGCACTCCCAGCAGGCCGACCTGGGCTGTGCACTGACGATGGGAGCAACAGATGTAGGAAGTTAGCAGTGTTACTCTTATTTGGTTTTTGTCCAGTGTTTTGTTGTCCTGTTTGAGCCACTTTGCCTCTTAGTGCAAAGGGGGTGTGTGCTTAAATAGTGGTCTGTCTGTAGTGTCCCTCCATCAGCGTTGTAGAGAGTTACCGGCAAGCATAAGTCATTCTAGTGCACTGCAGGACAGTGACCTCAGATTCATGGCTGTATATCGGAAAAGAATGTGAGGTAAACTGGGAAGTTAACAAATACACCTGGAGTAGAGATCTGGTGTCTGTCTGCTTTTTTTATTGACAAATGAAAAAAGTATATTTTAAAAAAAAAAAAGCTGCATGCAGTGTCCTGCGCTTATAATCCCAGCACAGAGGAGGATGTGGTGGCAACCAGCTTCCTAGGTCCCTTAGCTACCCAGAATAGCATACTTGGCAAGCTGCTAGCCGGTGAGAAACCCTGTCTCTAAAAAAATAGTGTAGAGGACACCTGCAAAACAACACCCAAGGGGCTGTCCTTTGGCCTCCACATGCACACATGGTCCACATTTGCGCATACACACACACACACACACTCAAAAACCAAAATACATTGGCAGGACAGTGGTGGCTCATGCCTTAATACCAGCATTCTGGAGGCAGAGGCAGGCAGAACTGTGAGTTCAAGGCTAGCCTGGTTTACAAGAGCTAGTTCCAGGACAGCTAAGACTATTACACAGAAAAACCCTGTCTTGAAAAACCAGAAGAAAAAACACACATTTAGAAAGAAAGCTCTAAGAAACAGCACATCTAAAGTGTGAGAATCATAGCATCACTTTATAAGTTTAGGAAGACTCGCTGCAAACTTGGCTGGCCGTGAAGATGTCTGCTTTCTAAGGGAAGCTTGGGGTGCACATGTTTCTTTGCATTGAAGACACACTGTGAGCATGGTTCCATTTCTGCAAAAACAGTCCCTCATCTACAGCCCAACCCTTTCCCATGGACACGGCAGAGGTGTGTGGCTTGTGTTCACACATTAACCAAGCAAACCAAAAGTCAGCAATTTCTAGTTAACTTTTGGCTTTTTACTAGCAGAGTGATTTCTTCACTGGCTTCTTTTATTTATCCACGTTCACAAGCTGAAGATGGAGATAAACAGAAGAACAAAGGGACAAGTGATTCTGAGGCAGATGGAAGGGAAAAAAGAAAGCGGTCAGGCTAGGGCAAAGCCGGCATTTCTGAGACAACAGCGAGTGGAATGTGGCGGCCTTCAACAATGCTCACTGCCTACCATTTGAGATCCTCCTCCTGTGAGTGTGCTCCATGGCTCTCAATACTCGGAACAATACATACAAACTAAATAGTGAGCAAAAATGTAAGCCTCTGCTTTTTTTTGTTTCTTTGTTTGTTTCCACTGAGAAACTGAAGGAAATGCAAAGGAAGTGTCCCTGGTTTCAAACAGTATTCCCTGCAAAGGTGACAGAATCTGCTCCTCTATTTTCATTGGTTTGAGAGGTATTCACTAGGAACCAACCACATGCTACATGTTGAGCTAGGCACTAGAGACAGTGTCAGATACGGTAAGGGAAACAACGAGAGAGTTTCTCCTTAGACCTGAGATGTGTAGCTTATATCGAAGATACTAGTAAGCCTGACTAAGGGAAGCAAGTGAGAATCTACCAATAACAATTATGAAAGTAGTAGGAGACAGTAGCTCCAGAGGAGAGAAGGAAAAGAACTAGTCCTGATGACTCATTCCACAACAATCTTTGATTGGTTTCTAAAAGGAAATGAATGGCAGGCTATTTTCTCAAGATGCTCAACAATTACACACAACCAACAATGCCTAACACGAACAATTACCATTTAAATCACCCAACAAGTTTGGCAGATGCTAAAAAACTAATTAATCCATAGGCACAAAAATCACATCCTCTTTTGTGACTATAGAAGTTTGAAGAAAGGGTCGGTGAGCTCAGATCTGGAGGGAAGAGGTGATTAGGCAAAGACTGCACTTGCCGATGGCTACTGAGAACTTGCTCCAGACTCCTCAAAGTAACATGGCATACAATAAAGGAGCAGGGCTCACTCATGCAGCCAGAGAAGGACCAGACCCCTAAGCTGGCCAACAACAAGTAGAGTAAGTCAACCAGATCTGTCCTGAAGCCGTAAATGTGACTTGCTTCCAGATTCTTTTTGCCATTGCCTGGCTTTCTAGTTTGCTTTTCTGTTTCTGTGTTATATATCACACATATGATACATATAAGTAATATCTACATGACCAAAAGAAGCTTTAGGGGAGGAACAAGTTGATTTCATCTTCCACCGCCAGGTCACAATCAACTTTTGAGAGAAGGCAGGCAGGAGGTATGGAGGAACATGTGAAGAGTCGCCCACAGCTATACCCACAGGTCAATCTGATGGAGGCCATTTCCCAATTGAAGTTCCTTCATCACACGTTGTAGAACATCTGCATACTGTAGGAAGATGTGGTGTTGTGATGGGTGGAATAAAGAGCTGAATGGCCAATAGCTAAGCAGAAAAGGATAGGCGGGACTTCTGGGATGAGAGCGCAAGAGGAGAAGGAACCTAGACAGGTGATTTCTCCAGGAGACTCCGAGCAAGTCAGATGTGCTACATCAAGGAAAGGTAAGAGCCACGTGGCAGAATGTAGATTAATAGAAGCAGTCTAATTTCAGTTACAAGCACTACTTGGGGGCAAGCTTAATCTAAAGGCCAAGCTTTCATGATGGAGGAAGGTCATTGGCTAATAAAGGAACTGCCTTGGCCCATTTTATTGGTTAGAACATAGGTAGGTGGAGTAAACAGAATGGAACGCTGGGAGGAAGAGAGCTCAGACTCCACAGCTCTCCTCTCGGGAGCAGACGCTTCAGAGAGATGCCATGCTCCGTTCTCCCGGGCAGACGCACGCGATGAAGCAAGCCGCCAGGTTAGACATGCTGAGCCTTTCCCGGTAAGACCGGTGCCACAGATTATTAGAAATGGGTTGATTGGGATGTGAGAATTAGCCAGTAAGGGCTAGAGCTAAAGGGCCAAGCAGTGTTTAAATGAATACAGCTTGTGTGTTGTTATTTCGGGTAAAGCTAGCCGTGCAGGCGGCTGGGGTGCTGGGGACGCAGCCCACCGCTCCTGATTTCAACACTTTCATAATCAACAATAACTCCCTGTATTGCTGTTTGGAGCTGGTGGTTCAAAGATAATCTGACAAGAAAGCTTTCTACATTCACAGTTAACTCTAGATTGTGTCCAGTTGACAACGAAAATTAACCCATACACCTGCAATAAACATTCTTTTTAAAATCCTCTTCCCTCTCTATCTGTTTATCCTACTGATAGCTAGTTGCCCCCAAATCTTCATTTCTATGATTCTGTCATACTCTTCCATCCAGGAGACACTCCTGTTGAACCAGGGCTCCAGAGGATTTCAAACAATAATAACTGGACTTCAAAAAGCCAATGCCCACTGTGGAATTTCCAGGTGTAGTGGGGAAATTACCTGAGAGCAATAGAAAGTTCTGGCCTCCTTAGAGCCCAGGATGTATGGGAAGCAGTTTCTCCTACCATCTCTGTAAGGCACACTGGCTGCCACTACTCTCTGGAAGAGGGTCGCCCAGCTAGAATTCCGTAGCCCTCAGTAACGATACCTTAAGAGGTCTTTTAAAATTTATCTCTTGTGAGTAGTAGCCATTACATTTTTTTCCCATTTTTTTTCCTAGTGAAAATGTCAAAGTAGTAACTTTTAAAAGCATCCTTCAGAACCTACCATGATAATATCAATGACCTTTCAGACTGACTGGTCGCTCTGGTCAGAAAATAACTCACCATCTGACTAGTCTCAGCTTTGATCATGGCTCTCCACAGGCCCTTGAGCTCTCATGTTTCAGTGCATAGAAAAATTATTTTAAGATGCACTAAGACAAGTTTACATTTTCTCTAACACACCATCTAAATCCTCTTGAAAATCATTTAAATCTCTGGTCAGTTGCTTTCTAAGTCTTTCCTTTTCCCACACCAGGATGTATATTTAAAATAACATTTATTTACAAAACGGTATCCTAGCAATGGTGTCACAGCACAAGAGCGTGTTATCTAAAGCAAACCAATCCTGGCCATAAACTATATAAGCAAAGCAACCAAATGTGATTGGTATAGCTCCCCTGAGATACAGGGCGTCTGGGGTGCTATACGAGATTAAAGGCAAATTTTCAAGCTGGAAGTGACATATTATTCATTTTACACTCAAAGAATGGGAAACACTTTTATTCTTAATTATGAAATCATAAACTTCAAGAGTGGAAAGGGAATTTGAAGGCTGCCCAGTTCAAGCCTATAATGTTATAAGAGGTTGGGGGATGGGAAGAACAAGCAATAATTTACTTTTCTCTGAGTACACAGGTAGGTAGTTTGTATGAGAAATCAGGTTTCCTGACTTTCGTCCAGTTATTCTAGCAACCATTTTTCTTATGATAAATGTTATATGTACATTTGCAAGATGACTGGACACAT